TTGACATGTATATGCTTGATTGTACTTATTTCATATATTTGACTAACATATATTTATTAAGTTACGTTGGATTAAGATGCATTAATTAAAGGGGAGTTTTGGCATGCATTGTTCAAGGGAGAGTTTTTTTAAATGTTTTTTTAAAATTTTACATGTTTTAAAGAAAGTTTTTTTATCAAACAAATTTATCTTTAAGTTTTGTCATATCAAAAAGGAAGAGATTGTTAGCCTTGAATTGATCCTTATTTTGAAATGACTAAACATTAAGTTAAATAAGCTTGATCAAGATTTTGAAAAAGATTTATTTAGTACATGTTCTTAAGTTTTATATTTTGGCACTAAATAAATAATATTTTTTCAAAGTATAAATAAATCTTTCTTTGTTTTCATATTTCTCAAACCAAATATATCTTTAAAGATTATTTATTTGAGTTTAAATAAAAGTTCAATTGTTGTTTTTAAAGTGAACTTATTTATTTTGAACTTACTATAATTTTGATAATATTAGTTTTGAGAAATAGATTAACTTAAGAAAGTTGTTTTGCAAGAATAAAGTTGTCCAATATTGAATTTCTTTTATTTTTCTGTATTCATTCACAAAACTTTAATATTTAAATTTTATATGGTTGGAAAGCTCTTTGAGTCTACTTTTTAATTGATTAAACAAAATCAAAATCCAAATTTTTTAAGAAAAAATTTTAAATTTTTACTAGATACTTTGCAATTGTCTAAAAATTGCACAATGGGTAGATTTGAAAATTCATTATAATTTGTATACAATGAATTAGGTGATGAATTTTATATGGATAGAAGGCCCTTTAAGTTTAGTTTGTAAATATTGAAATGGTTTTTTTATTTGGATTTGTATAACTTAAAATATGATCAAATGAGCAAGTAAAGTGTAAAATAAGAGACAACCACCCTGTTAGACAGAATCAATCCCCTCAAAAATGGATCGATTGGTTTTTTATCCAGAATAAAAATTTTGCTCCAAAATTTGAAAAGGGATCGATCACCTAGATTAGAAGATCAATCACTTGAAAAAGGGATCGATTGGTACTAAAAAAGGATTGATCCCCTACGTCCAGAAACATTCCAATAACTATTTTTTTCAAGCTTCCAATGGACATTTCTTCTTCCAAACCATTCTCAACAGCTAGGTTTTCAATTCCTCTATAAATTGGGCACTCCAACATACCAAAAAAGTTGATAATCAAAAGTGTAAGAACAAAAGCTATATTTTCATTTTATCAAAAAATCAAGAGTTGTTAAAGCTTAAAATCTATATCTTTTGTATTTGTTATATCCAAGCTATATTTTATTGTTCATTTATCAAATTTCTTTATACTTCATTAGGCAAACACTTAATCTTGAGAGATATTTTAGTTTGAAAAAATCGTTTAGGTTATCTTGTAAGCAAGAATTGAGGTATCATTTTGATATTATAAGGGTAAAGGTTGTTACCTAAGCCTTAAGAAAAAGAAAAGGATTTAGTATAAGATATGTTTATATCTTGTAAGAGTTTTTCTTCAATTAGTGGATTAAAACCTTGATATGGATAACCAAAAAGAAAGAATGCAGGTGCCTTGTGAAGAATGATCAAATCTTTATGTTTAATTTTTCTATTCGTATCTCTTTATTTTCATTGTTGATTATATTTACTTCTAAATATATCAATTATTGTCATTTGCATCATATTATGATATTGATTTTATTTTTTCATTCAATTATTTTGAAATCATTATTTGGGAAGAACTCGAAGAAATCTAATTTATTCCCCCTCTTGCTTTTGAATCATCATCTCATCTAAAAAACTGACATATTTGAAATATATAAAAAATAATTTTTTCTTATTTTTTTCTTTTTCTTTATTTATTTTTTTATAAACTATATTTAAAAAAGGAAAATAAAAGATATTTAATATTTTAAAATATATATTTTATAGATAGAAAATAATATTTTTATTATGATTTATGAGTAAAATAATATTTTTAATAAAAAATAATTTTTTTCTTTTTAAGTTTAAATAGAAAATTAAAGTTTAGTTGGATACTTAATTCAAAATTAAATATTTTATTTTATACAAATAAAGATTAAATATTATTATTCTGTAGCAAAAAAAGAAATTTTTTAATAAAATAAAAAAATTATACATGCGATTAATCCTAAGTTGAGGAAATAAATGTGACACATCGACAAAAAAATCAAACATAAGTTGACTAAAAAAAAATTTAAATAAAAATTTTTATATTTTTACTTTTATTTTCTTCTCCCTCTTCTCTCTTTACCATTCTCTCATATCTCCATCCTTTCTTTAGTTCTTCCAATTCTCCATAGCCACCATAACAACTCAAAAATTGGCGTTGGATTGCCGCCTCCAACTGTCGCTTGCCAGCGATGATTTTTTTCAGAAAACAACTTTTCATTTCCCATCTTCCTTTTCCTTTCTATAGGTTTAGATTTTCAAAGAAAACAATATGAAAAACCTTAGACCAGAAAAACACAATTTTTATGGCCCTTCATTAAACTTTCTACGAGATTAATCTCTCCTCAACATTTTTTTGAATAACTTCCTCAAATCTCTTCGTAGTCTCTTCCTCTAATAATTTCAATTCATATTCTTGTTAAAATCTAAAAACAAAACTAAAGCAACAAAAGGTAAATAAACTCTTCTTTGCCAATTTACTCAAATATATATATATATATATATATATATTTTGATCTTGCTGTGTAATTTGAAGATTAGATTGCCCATTGGTAACTTCCCACACGAACCTGGCTATGTGTTGGGTGGAGGGGAGGGTTTGGCTAAGGAATAGCCATTGATTGTGAAACTATGGAAGATGTCCATAGCCTTGATTATAAAGTGAAAGCTTATGGTTGAGATTAATGGATACTGCACGGGTGGAGGGAAGGGTTTGGGGTTTTCAGGATTTTGATTGTTTCCTAAGAAAGTGAAAGGAAATGTAAGGAAATAAAACAAGACTGAACGATGGATTGTTTACTACTACCAGTGGTGTCTTTGGATGATTGTGTGTGGACTTAGGTTGTTGTGGGTGGTTGTGGTGGAAAACTGATTGCTAGTGTTTAGAAGACGAGAATGGTATGGTTAGGTAGGTAGTGGTTGAAGGTGCAGGAGAGTGACTTTGTTATTTAGTTTGTGATATAAGCAAAAAATATTAGGATGTTGAGTTTTTGTTGATGGTGTACATGGGGTGTTGAGTTTACATAGAATGATTGAGAATAATTTAGGTAGAAACAAGCAAGGCAAATGAAGAAATATAGATGTGGAATTTTTGGAAGAAACAAAGGAAAAGAAGAAACTAGAGGAATTTGTGGAAGTTGCCGAAAACATGAAAAGTTAATTAATTAAATTATGATTTTTTTTACGTTTCAAATTAACTTCTTATCATTTTGGATACAATGACAATAACGTTGCCAGCAAAAAATGATACCATTAACTTTCCACATCAACAAAAATAACAAATAAATTGAATAATTCAATGTCTCACTTAAGTTGATGGTGTGTGTAATGCATATTCTAAAGTTTATAAAAAAAAATCTAACATTATTATAAGTCGATAATATTTAATCTTCATTTATATAAAATAAATGTTTAGTATTCAAATGAGCATTTAGCCAAAAAAAAATTTGGAGAGAATTCCACAAACCCTCAATTATATCTAGTAGTATTTGATATTTGGTAGTATTTGGTCTTAGTTTCAAGATTGTTATGATAATTTAATTTTTGAGGTGATCAATTTTATCTCCAATGATCTAGAGTTACTTTATTTAGTTTACAATCATTAGTTTTTAGGAAAGATCATTATATTTGATATTATTAAAAATCAAATATTATTTTGTTAGAAAGTATCAAAATAACTATATATATATTGTAATAATTATATAAGTTAATGACTTCAATATCATTTTAAAGGTAATAGTTTATAAAATATTATTAATATTTTATTTATTTTATAATAAAATATAATTAAATTATTAAATTAAAATATATTTATTGATAGATAAACTAATTTTTATAATATAAATTATTTGAGAGCATTTCACTTACAATCATTTTAATGCAATTAACCAATCATAATTTATAATTATGTGAAACCCATCAAAATTTTATATAAAGTCCACATTTATAAGTGATGGTCGTTTACATAATTTTTTATTGTGATTGGATAATTATAAGATTGTAGTAAAAAAGTTGTAGGTAATATGCTATCAAATTATTTAAAAAATTGACTTAGAAAATAAAACTAATGTATTAAAATCATAATAAAAGAAAAAACAAAAAATTATATTATATATAAAATTAAAAAAGTTAAAAAAATAAAAATCATTTTTGAACTTATTAAAATAAATATTAATTTGAACGTAAAAAAATTTATAATATAAAATAATTATAATTTTAAAGGAAAGCAAGTTTTTAATTTTTTAAATAGATAATATTAATTATTATTAAATTTATATATCATTTTATTATAGTGATAAAATTTTTTCATCTTTTTAGATGAAAATTAATTACTCTCCAAAATATTAATTTGATCATTTTTAATAATTCAAATCACTATCATATAAGATATTAAATATTTATCAAATTCAATAATATAATTAATATATATAAATCATTGTAATTTTGAAATGATCACCTCGTGCCAAAAACAACCTAAAATACACAAACACCCTTTTATTTCAAAATAGAGACTTTTTCGGTTTGACGTTTTATTGATCAATAGCTAATGTGTAATTTCTAAAAAGACATGATTGCCCTAAAAATTTTCAGAAACAATAAAAATTAAAAAATAAATTTTGGAGCAAAAAATTATTCAAAATCATACACCGTAAACCTTTTTTTTTTTTTTTATACACATAAAATGAGTACAACCCATCAGACGATTTTGGTTTCCAAACTTTTTTTTTTCTTCTTACCCATTCTTTAACCACTATACAAAACGCTGAGGACACCCCAAAACATATTTGCAGCCGGATCACATTTGCTTTTCAATCAAAAAGATGAACAACGGAAAGAGTTCTACTTTCTGCCATAGGTTTCATTTCTTCAATTCAATAGAATCAAAATAAGCTTGCCCTCTATTTGTGTATTCGTCAAGAACTCCTTCCACTTCTTATGATGGTCCCATATGGATATATGCCTGGTTCCTTGTTAACCTCCACCATCAAAGTTATTGTTGATATTTTATGAATTTTGTCCTATTGTAATCGTTCAACCCGGAAAAAGTGAACGGCAAACTGCTCTAATTATAATTGAAGAAATCAAGTAAAACGCACCTTAACATTAAGTTAGAAAAAAAAGAAAGTGAAAAGAGAGAAAGCTAATTATGCAACGTGACAATTTTTTGATGATTTGACCCGAAGAAATGAGCGAGAACCGTCCGTAATTACCGTTGTTTCTCCCGTTTTGATTTAAAAGCTATAGGCGGTTAATCTTCACGTATCCAGTATTATTGAAAAAGAGAGAAAGAAGGAAAAAGATGAGTTCCTATACGTTAGCCGATGCCGATAAACCTCATGCTGTATGTATTCCATATCCAGCTCAAGGTCACATAAACCCAATGCTGAAGCTAGCAAAGCTCCTTCACCATTATGGCTTTTACGTAACCTTCGTAAACACCGAGTACAACCATAAACGCCTTCTCAGATCCAGAGGCCCAAATTCACTTGATGGTTTGCCAGATATTTGCTTTAAAACCATCCCGGATGGCCTCCCACCTTCCGATGCTGATACCACCCAAGACATTCCTTCTCTATGCGTCTCCGTTTCAGAGAATTGCTTAGGACCTTTCCGTGATCTCCTTCACAAGCTCAATGGCTCTGCATCTTCAAATGTCCCGCAAGTGACCTGTATTGTCTCAGATACTGGCATGGGATTCGCTGCTGAAGTAGCAAGAGAATTTGGCATTCCTAACGTAGGTTTTTGTCCCTCCAGTGCTTGCTCAGGTCTTTGCTATGCCTTGCTTCCACGTTTGGTTGAAGAAGGGGTAACACCTGTAACAGGTATAAAATATATGGTGCTCTCTACTCAATCAAATCAAAGTTCAATGGTTGAATACGTGGTTTTATGTAAAAGGAATGACATATTGTTGTTTAGAATGTTTCGATTTCATTGCTCACAGTCACGGTTCTTGACACGATTTACTTTAATTTGTTTGGAAATTGCAGATGGAAGTGGGATAACAAAGGAATATTTAGATAAAGTTATAGATTGGATTCCTGGGGGAAAAAAAATCCGTTTTAGGGATCTTCCAAGCTACGTTAGAACTACAGACCCGAATGACCGGATGCTTAGTTTTCTCCTCAGGGAACTCCGGGGCGTCGATAAAGCTTCGGCTATTGTTTTCAACACATTTGACTCTTTGGAACAGGACGTTTTGGAAGCTCTCTCGGCCATTTTTCCTCCCATTTATACCATTGGTCCTCTTCACCTGCTTGTTGATCAGATCAGAGATGATGAATTGAAATTTATTGCTTCAAATTTGTGGACTGAACAAACTGAATGTATCAATTGGCTCGATTCAAAAGAACCAAACTCTGTGGTGTACGTAAATTTTGGCAGCGTCGCAGTAATTACACCTGACCAACTGATTGAATTTGCTTGGGGTTTAGCTAATAGCAAACAGCAGTTTTTGTGGATAATCAGGCCTGACCTTGTCATTGGTGAGGCCGCCATTTTGCCACTTGAATTTGTCTCCGAAACTCAAGGTAGAGGCATATTAGCGGGCTGGTGTCCACAAGAGCAAGTCCTCAAGCACCCTTCAATAGGAGGTTTCTTATCGCACATGGGATGGAATTCTACCATTGAAAGCATATCTAGTGGTGTGCCAATGGTGTGTAGGCCATTTCTTGCAGATCAGCAAACAAACTGCCGGTTTGCTTGCGTGGAGTGGGGTATTGGCATGGAAATTGACGACCATGCTAAAAGAGATCAAGTGGAGATACTTGTGAAGGAGTTAATGGAGGGAGAAAAGGCTGTGGAATTGAAAGCAAAGGCCATGGAATGGAAGAAGAATGCTCAGGAAGCTGTCAAGCCTGGTGGTTCTTCTTACCATCACTTGGATGAACTGTTAGTGGATTTTCTTCTATCAGAAAAGCATATAAATCAGTTGAAGATAAAGAAGAACGAGAATTAAAAATCATTGCCAGGACGTTTCTATTTTAAGAGTCGAAGCTCAAATTGCCAGGGCCATGTCTACTATTTCTCAAGTGAGTGTTGTCATCCTTCTGATAAGACGGATGGTTTACAAATAAAATGTGATACATCCATGCTAGGTTGATGGTTTTCAGATAGCAAGAAAGAAATAGACTTGATTATGCCTTTGAGAAGCTATAGAAGTTAGAGAAGCTTATAAAATGGTAACTGGAAAGGGATAGGATCAAGTTAGGATTAAGTTACTCAAGTGATATTGTTTACCAGGTGCTCAAAGATGGCATGCAGCTCTATAAAAAGGGAAACCGCAGCCATAACCAATGATATTGAAATCTGTCTTTCAAACGTTGAACATATATCATGTAACAGAAGAAACATAATTGACTTAGAACTGTCGGAAGGAAGGCCCTAAGAGACGTTTTCACAAACGTTTAGCATGCAAACTCAATAAATTTTCTTGAAACATAATAACCCAAGCTTCAATGAACCACCAAAATCACAACTTTTCACCACGATCATACACAATTTTCCAGCACAAGTTTCACACAAAAAAACTATCTCTAATCAACCAAGCTCTAAGTTCAAATAACTACATAACCAATTATCAAGCATAGCTAACTTTCAAATTTGTAAACAACAAACAAATAACATGTTCTTTACTTCAAAATGCATCAAAGATATTCATTTAATAGAATAAGAAAATAACTTAACACAAAAATTTGTATTTTTCTCACAAAGACAAAAACCCATTTTTTTCCTTGTACTTTCACCTTTAACACATTATCTACTCCACTTCTCTATACTATTTTTTTCAGCCCTATATTCCTAACGTCACCTTCATCCTTTTAAACACATCAATCTTCAATGACTTAGTAAAGATATCCGTTACTTGATCTTGCGACTTGCAATGCATTAATTCAACTTTTTTCTTCTCCACATGCTCTTAAATAAAGTGATAACAAATTTCAATGTGTTTACTCTTTTCATGAATCACTAGATTCTTGGCTAAAGCAATAGCCAAGTGATTGTCAACAAAAATCTCTATAAGACTTTTTTGCACAAACCCTAAATAGTTCAATACATTTCTCAACCAAATAACTTGACAAACGGTAAAATTTGCCACTACATACTTCGTGTCACGAGTTGATAAAGTCATAATAGGTTATTGTTTGGATGACTAAGTGAATGCACAATCACCAACAAAGAAAGCAAAACCGAAAGTGCTATTATTTTCATCTAAACCTCTACCTCAATCATTATTTGAATAACCAACAAGTTTCACATTATTGCAATAAAAATAGAACAAGCCATCATTGATAGTTCTTTTGACATACCTGAGGATCCTCTTTCCTGCACTAAGGTGTAATTGATCCGGTGTTTCCATGTATCTACTAATCAAACCAACTTCATAAAGAATGTAGGGTCTGGTGCAAGTGAGATAATGTAAACTTCCAACTAGGCCCTTGAAATAGGTAGGATCCATATTACCACAACTAGTAGTTTTCCTCAACATCAAGCCACAATCAAAGGGGTGTTCACTTCATTACGAGACTCCATCTTGAATCTTTTGAGAACCTCTTTTGCATATGCACTCTGAGAAATAAAGATCACATCATATCATTGCACTACCTCAATGCCAAGAAAGTGTGCCATCAAGCCAATATCTGTCATCTCGAACTCTGGAATCATACTTTTCTTAAATTTATCAAACATAGCTGCATTGTTTTCGATGAAAATCAAATCAACAACAAAAAAACATACAAATAACAAATCTCCATAAATGGTTTTTTTTACATACAAACATGTTCATAAAGACATTTCTCAAACCCATTATTATGGAAATACTTGTCAATTCTAGCATTCCATGCACGTGGTGCTTGCAAGAGCCCATAAAGAGCCTTTCTCAACTTGTACACATTGCCTTCACAACCCAATTTCACATACCCCATGGGTTATTCCACATATATCTCCTTTTCAAGAAAATCATTCAGGAATGTAGACTTGGCATCCAATTGATAAAGTTTCCAACCATTTTGGGGCAACCAATGAAATCATCAATCTAATGGTCTCTAACCAAGTAACAGGAGCAAAAACTTCACCATAATCAATACTGGGCTTTTGTTTGTATCTTTTTGCCACTAATCTCACCTTGCATCTTTGAACTTTTCTTTTTGCATTCATTTTAGTCTTGTACACCCATTTCACACCCATAGCCTTTTTACTTTCTAGTAAAGAAGTTAAAGACCAAGTTTCATTCTTCTCAATTGCCTTCATTTCCTCATCAATTGCTTTTTTCCATTTCTCTTCTTGAATAGCCTTCTCAAAACAAATAGAATCACAATCCATATAAAACAATAAAGATTAATATGTTCATTATTTTCGGTGGCATCATAAATCTCCGTTAAGCTTCTAGTGTTTTTAGGCCTTTTCACTAGAGCTTTATCTAGATAATGAAAATGATGATGAAGATGTTATAGAGGAAGTGTGAAATGGTGTTTATGGCTCTACATATTGGATCACTCTAGGTTTTCCTTCTTCATGCTCAAGTTAAAGTTCTACAACACTAACTTTATCATGATTCCAATCCTACGCACCATTCTCTTCAAAGATCACATCTCTACTCATAAAAGCTCTTTTAGAAAATATGTTGTACAACTTTTAACCCATAGCCAGTGCACCATCACCAAGAAAAATACATTTCTCCCATCTGTCATCAAGCTTTATTATTCTAGCTTTTGAAATTTTGGCATAAGCAATACACCCAAATACTTTGAGATGGGCTACACCTGGTTTTAAACCACTCCAAGCTTCTTTCGGAGTCTTTAAGTAAACATTTTTAGTAGGACATCGATTAAACAAGTACACGGTGCATGTAATCACTTTCACTCATAACTCTCTTGGCATTTTCTTTCCCATCATCATATTCCTTGTCGTATCTAAAATTGTTAGATTCTACCATTCAGTAACTCCATTGAATTGTAGGGTGTAGAATGAGGTGACTTGGTGCATAATCCTATACTCATTGCATAAGTGTTTGAATTGATCCGAAGTTTACTTTTCACCTTGATCAAACCTTAGAATCTTTAAGTAATAACCACTTTGATTCTTCACAAAAGCTTTGGACTTTTTGAATATATATAATAAGTTGGACTTCCTTTTCAGGAAATACACCCAAGTCTTACAACCAAAATCATCAATAACAATCATAAAATATCTATTCCTTCCACTTGATATTGGTTTCAAAGCACCATAAATGTCGATATGCACAAGCTCCAAAGGTTTAGTTGCTTTGCACCTATTTTTATTGCCAAAACTTAGCCTATGTTATTTGCCAAAAATGTTCCCTTCATAAATTTGATTGAGATGATTAATATGAGACAACCCTTTTACTATATTCTTACTTGTCAAAGCTCTCAAGCCATCAAAATTAAGATGCCCAAACCTCAAGTGCCACAACTAAGACTCATTTTGCATAATAAAACTCAAGCAATAAATTTCATCTTATTACAAATTTAAACAAAATATTCTACTTAACATCTTCACAATAGTAATCAACTTCCCATTCTTATCTTTTATAGTAAGAAAACCATTCTTTATATGTATTACATAACTTTTCTCCAACAATTTCCCTAAACTCAAAATATTCTTTTTTAAAGAAAGAATATAGTAAACATTGGAAATAAAATTATGAGAACCATTCTTGAGCTTAATGAGAGAATGTTACCTTTTTCTTCCACTCGAACTTTGGATTCATCTCCAAAAGTGACATTACCTTTTACCACTTCATTCAACTCAACAAAGACATTATTGTTTCCAATCATATGGTTACTAGTCGTATTATCAAGATACTAGGTGTTGCTTTCATCTATAATAGTCCCATTAAAAGTGAACAACAAAGTAGAATCCACATAACTATAATTTTTCTCAACATAGTTTGCTTACTCATTAACTTCACTACCTTGCTTTCCCCAATATTCATTACTATAATGCCCATATTTACGTTAATTAGAGCATTAAATGTTCCTTTTGTGGTAACCTTGCTGGTTTGGAGAGTTGTTGAAATTGCCATCATTTTTACCTCCTCCTCTTCCTCTTGGAACATGCCATGATTGATGCCGTTCACCTTTTGCTCTACCTCCTCTATTTCTACTTACAAAACATTTTTCTTAATCATCATAACCTCTACCACCACTTTCATTATGATGACCTCTATTTTTATTACTTTTACCACGGCATTTATAACCTCTATCTCTTTCTCTTTGAGTACCTTAAGCACCAATTTCCTTTCTATCTTCATCTAAAGTAAGCTTAGTGTGAAGGGCTTGGTCAATGGAGCTAGTCATCTTCTTGTTCAACCTTTGTTCATGCACTTGCAATATTCCCATTAATTGATCAACCATCATATCCTCCAAGTCTATTGTTTCTTCAACAATTATCGCTATTTGCTCAAACTTTAGATTTAAAGATCAAAGAATATTTTTCATAACTAGGACATCACCAAGTTTCTCACAATTCCTTATTATCTCATTCATAATAGCCAGCACTCTTCCAAAGTGCTCCAAAATGGTCTCATTTTCATACATGGATATGGCATCAAACTCACCCCTTAATACTTGTAGACGAACTTTCACGACCTTGTGAATTCTTGAGGATATCCCATGACTTCTTAGAAGTTGTCACCATTGAAATCTTCTCAAAGTTTGACTCATCAATTGCTTGGTAAAGCACAAATAAAGCCTTCTTATCTTTCTTCTTTACATTTTTAAAAGTAGACTTTTGAGCTTCCGTTAGTCTGTCTTCCTCCGTTTCACTAGGTTCCTCAAACCCCTTGTGAACAATCTCCCATAAATCTTAAGACTTTAGCAACACTTTTATTTGTACATTCCAATTATCATATTTGTTCTTGCCTAACTTAGGAATTTTAGGTTGCACGAAGTTGTTAGCCATCATTAATGCCTACTTCACCAAAACCCACTATAAATCACCACACCAATAAATAAACCCTAAATGGAAAGCCTAAGTTTAGTAAACTTCACCAAGGATTTAACTCAAACAAACCACATGCTCTAATACCACTTTTGTTGGAAGGAAGGTCCTAAATGATATTTTCACAAACACTTGGCATGCAAACTCCTTAAAGCTTATTGAAACATAATAACCCAAGCTTCAATGAATTACCAAAATCGCAACTTTTCACAACAATTATACACAAATTTTCAGCACAAGTTTCATATAAAATACTATCTCCAATCAACCAAGCTTAAAGTTCAAATAACCACATAACCAACTATCAAGCATAACTAACTTTTAAATTTGTAAACAACAAAAAAATAACATGTTCTTCATTTCAAAATACATCAAAGATATTCATTTAGTAGAGTAAGAAAATAACTTACATAAAAGTTTGTATTTTTCTCACAAAGACAAAAATCCATTTTCTTCTTTGCACATTCATCTTTGAAATATTCTCTTCTCTACTTCTCTACACTGTTTTTTTTCAGCCCTATATTCATTCTATCATTTACTTCATTTACATTATAACGGCCCTAACTATAAAACATAAAAAGTGTCCAACTCAAAGTGTAAAGTAAATGGGTTATTGAAAAAAAAAAAAGGACAAATAACTAACCCAATATAATTGGGTTTACGATCTAACTAGAACTGCTTAAAACTATACTAGATATATTGTTATTAAAAAAAAATAAAACATCGGATTAATTTTTTCTACATTATCCTTGACAAAAAAAAAATTGTTTCTACATTGGATGGTATGCTAAAAGATAATCTTTTTATTTCAGTGGATAAGAATTTTTGTTATTCTTATTGCTTTAAAATCTATATTAATGTTTCTTACCTAGCTTTTTTTTTTTTTTTTTTGGTTTAAGCTCAAGTAGAAGTGTTTTATATACATATATATATATATATATGTATATATATATATTTATTTATTTCTAGTTTTAATTTCATTTGATTGTTTTTAATTACCGCCTTGATCACAATAAACAAGAGTGTAATATGAACTCTGGCATAAAGAATGCTTCTATAATTCTGTGTGTTTACTTTAAATATATAGACCTTTTGGAAGCTTGTTCTTATGGAATGAAAGTATCGAATTCTCTGTTCGTCTTTATCCCGTCGCCTTTATACAGTCTTGTGTCATGAGTCTTGACGTACCCTGTCTCCCACGGAACAATTAGCTAGCACTAGATCATGTTTGAGCTTAAAAGGGATGGTTTCATACATATAATATTCCTAGAATTTAATTTTTCATGGTTTAATCAATCGGTGGACGCCCTTAGTCTCCGGATCAAATTCCCGGTTCTACTTCTACAATCACTTCTCGCATAGAGAGAAGCGAAGATCGTTTTTGATATTCTACTATCAATGATTTTATAATTTAAATTATAAGTACTTAAATTTAAATTTTTAATCTATTTAATGTTATTTTTTAAATGATTTTATAAATCTATTAGACTAACTCTTAAGGTTTAAGTTAACCTTGGGTTCATTTTGCAACCTAAATTTTTTAGACAAAATAAAGTTCATTTCACTTATAATTTTTTTATTATATTTTTATAATTATTTAATTATAATAAAAATATATTTATATATATTTGATGTATTAATTATATATATCGACAATAAATCAAATAATATGATCTTATTAATAAATAAATATTAATTTTTAAAATAAATATATAAAAAAATACTATAATTTAAAAAATTTACTTATTAATAAGATGTCATCTGCTTATTTATTTTATCAATGAAATGATATCATCTAGTTTATTATCAATATATATAATTTATATACTGAATAACAATAAATATAAATACTAAAAAAAAATTATGTACGAGTCCATTATTTATAAATGTGAAATTCCTATAAAATTTTGATAGACATTACATAATTTTAAATTATAATTAAATTATTTTAGATTATATACTCCCCTCGAAATAGTCTTTCCCTTCTACCTGGACTCTTGGATGAGCAAACCAAAATGGCCCCTCTTATTTGTGGTAAAATTTTCCAACCATTTAGCATAACTAATCTTTTTTCGGGTCGCTTATGAACATGCGATATTCACGCTTGCTTTTAAATTTACGCCAGCACTCAGGACTTTCGCCAAAAAAAGTACCACATTCCACAGATTTTCATTTTTTTCCTTGCTTTTCAATTTTGAAGTTGAAATTGTCATCCCCGAAGAAATATGATCTAGATGACAAATTGATATTTGACAAGATCCCAACATTTATTCATCTGCAACAAAATCATCGCATTGAAATACCACAAATCTGAATTGGAAATCTGCGTTGAATTACAAGTTATATACAATGCATCAGTTTAAGTTGTCAAAATGCTTCAGCTTTACGGCATCTCGCGACTGGTTCTATCGCTATTCCTTTGGCAATGCTGGCCTTCGTTCAATTAAGACTGATCTCGGCGAAGGCACCGTCATGCACTGCTGGGTCCCAAAAATAAAAAACGATTCAAAGCCCAATCTTCTTCTTGTCCATGGCTTTGGTGCCAATGCAATGTGGCAATATGGTGAGCATCTCCGCCACTTCACATCTCGATTCAATGTCTATGTACCAGACCTTATCTTCTTTGGTGAATCATACACAACCAGAAGCGACAGAACCGAGTCGTTCCAGGCTCAATCCGTGATGAAAATGATGGAGGCGCACGGTGTGCCAAGAATGAGTCTGGTAGGTATAAGCTACGGTGGGTTTGTAGGGTATAGTATGGCAGCCCAATTTCCAGAGAAAATGGAGAAATTGGTCTTATGCTGCGCTGGTGTTTGCTTGGAGGAGAAGGATTTAGAGGAGGGTTTTTTTAATGTTAAAGATTTGGATGAGGCTTTGAGCATTTTGTTGCCACAGACGCCAGAGAAATTGAGGGACTTGATGAGGTTTTCCTTCGTGAAGCCTGGAGCCAGGTGGGTGCCAAGTTATTTTCTCACAGATTTCATTGATGTAAGGTTCACTTTCCCAATAACTTGTTCTTCTATGCCTATGTTTGGTTATGGTTCTATAGTAAGAAAAAGATTTATGATTATTTGCAAATTTTTAGTAATCCTTTTTCTCTGATTTGGAGAAGAGAAATTCAAACCTTTTTTCTTTTTCCTTTTCGGTATTTCATCATTGCAAGTTTGAAAAATTGGGTTGTCAGCATTGCATTTATATAGGAGTAATTTTTTTCTTCTCTAGGTAATGTGTACAAATTATCTTGAAGAGAAAAGAGAGTTGATTGGGGCAATACTAAAAGACAGAAAGCTCTCCCACCTTCCTCTTATCTCACAGGTTTAAGCTCTTCCTTTTATATCCTGCTGCACATCTTTTGTGTGTTCTAGGTTGATTTAACTTTTTTTCTTTTGTTCTTCTTAAAGCGCACGTTAATAATCTGGGGAGAAGAAGATAAGATATTCCCTTTGGAACTAGGCTACAGATTAAAAAGGTTAATATAATAATCTTATTTCCTTTGATATATATATATATATATATATATGTATTTGAGAGTAAGGATTTACTTATATCACTGTAAGTGTTTTTTTTTTTTTTTTAATTTTTAGATTAAAATTAAATTTATAATTAATTTAAATTAAATAATATTTTTAATTTTAATTATTTTAATTTAATAATAATAAAAAAATATAACACTTACATTAATATAAGTGAATTGAATTTTAGCTATTATATATCATTTTTAATTTTGTCGCATTTAATTTTGTACGATTGAATTGTGTGTTGTAGGCATGTGGGAGAAAGTGCTGAGATTGTAGTGATTAAGAATGCAGGGCATGCTGTTAACATGGAAAAGCCCAAGGACTTCATCAAGCACTTAAAATTATTCCTTTTTGATTCAGTTTCATCTGATCCTCCTTCCCAAACTCAGAGTGGTCTAGTATTACATTCTTATTGGTCTTAATATTATAGGCCTCGGTTAACAAAACAAAACAATATTACCCTTTTTTTTTTTAATTTTCATTACTATTGTCTTGAGAATTTTTTCAAGACCTTGATTTGCATGATATAAGCTGTTCAGGTTGTAAAATTTTGTGTTACATGTATATGTATTGGATATAACAGTAGAAAATGATTGTTCGATTCTTTTAATACTAAAGTTTATATCCTAATTATTGTTTCCTTTCCTTAAACCACTTAACCTCAAGTTCAAGGTTTAAATCTATTTTCTTATGTAGACTTCTTTAAATGAAGAAAAATTTTAATGAAAAATTTTAAATGGAAAAATATTTTTTTAATAAATAAAGCTTTTTTTTTATTTAACCAAAAAAGCAACATAAGTTGCTACAGTCAAAACAAAACAAAACTGCTATAACAATTTGGGATTACAAGTTGACTGTGATCATCATTTTCAATCTTATCATCACTAGTCCAAACAGACCCTAATGATAATATTTTTTTAATAGAATTAGTTTTATCATTTTGAAGTGGTGCTCCATTATTTCAAAAGTTTGAACTTGAATCCTGAAGGCAGTAATAACTTTTCTTATGTTAAAGGAGGATTACTAATTTATTGTGATAGAGTTGATTGGATAAGGTTACCGTGTAAGAGCTCGAGTTAGAAGTGATACTAACATATCGCATTTTAATGAGACTAAAAAAATAAGATGGAAGTTTTTGACCTGACACGGGCCTAAGCCCTAATGTATTTATCAGTCTGAGTTGGGCAAGGTTGGTAAACCAAATTGGGTTGACAACAAAGCCTGCATTTAGCCCTGTTATTAGCAATTTGGCATTCCTGAGAAAACTCCCGTGAAAATTAAAAAATAAAAATAAAAGCACTCAAGCATCTGTTGCCCGTGTATCTCAATCAACGACCCAAAACCATATATAGTCAAACTTAAGCCAAGAAATTAAATCAAATATATATATATGGGTACGATGGACAACTCGCCTACTGCCATAGCCCCTTTACTCCTCCGAAATATGGTAACTTCTATATTTATTCATTTATTTATCCCGACGAATCCTTCTCGAAACTAATTTGCTATGTCGCCATCACTTTATTTCTCTTCTTTCTATGCATTCTTCTTTCTCTTTTCCCTTATAATTTACATCCTCTATCTCAAGCCGATGATTACACCTTGAAGCCCCCCCAAAACGATAGCTACGTCGTTACTTCTGGGGTTGGCGACTTGGGAATCGCTCGTACGCTCTCACAGCTACTATAAATCGTTAATGACATTCCTGTTAGCTCTAGAAAGTATGAAATTGTTCGATCTTTAGCGGAAAGACTTTTAGAAGAGAACCATATGGAAGACATGGAAGCTTTACGTGAAGTCAACCGTGCAGTTTTGTCTGCGGCCTTTTGGAGGACTCTTTGCCAGCTTGAAGCTGCAATGGGTGAATTGGGGAAGACAGGGTCGATCACGACGGTGCGAGACCTGGACCAGTTCTGTATCGGTTGAACAGGGTTTTATGGGCAGTTGGAGTGTGGACTAGGGTAGGGAGGGGGAGAGAGGATGTGAACTGGTCAGGGAATTCGGCTGAGAAGCTGGCAGCTGAGCTGCTCTGGTTGGCGCAGAAATTGGCTGCTTGTGGGTTTGAGGAAGAGGCTGTTGAGAGGTGGGCGTCAGCTTCTAATTTGGCTTCGCTTTCTCTTTCAGCTGAGCCTCGGCTTAAATGTTCCCTGGTTAAGGTTGTTCCATTATTGAAGATCAAAACTAGAATATCTTGCGTAATACTTGAATAGGTCTACTCATCATAGGATATCAAGTAAGTTGTATACAAGGATATGAACCTCTAAATGGTGTAAGTCTTCCTTTTATAATTCGTATTCTTTTGGTCATGATCCGAAAATATTCATAAAGGAGAAATCAGAAAAATCTTGGCTAATTTATGCAGTATTAAATAAAAATATAAATGATACATTAATACTTACAAGTTATTTGAGTTTGATTTAAATAAAATTTAAATTCGGCTCAATTGTTATCGAATCGAGCTTGAGCTCGAATAATTCAACTTATTGATCAAGTTGAATTTAAACATTCTTGTGCTCGATTCGAGTGGCTCGTGAATCTAATCAAATTTTTATATTTTAATGTATTTTAATTAATAAAATTCTCTAACTTTGACATAAATAATCGAGTTTTTGTCGAATATAAGAATCGAACTTATTTTTAAATGTTAATCAAGTTTAATCAATTGAACTTGAGTAACTCGATTTTTATCTTAAATCAAGCTCAAACTAAAAAATAAAACTTAATTGAGTTCAAGTCGAATTTCGAATCTCAAATTTTGAATCAAACTCAAGCTCGAACTTAATATTGTATCATCTCAAACTCGATCGATTACACCCCTAATTTTAAGATACATCACAAGACCGTCATAAATATACTAAATGTTATTACACAAAATAAATTACTTATAATCTTTTTAAAGTTCAATGATTAAAAAGCCAAATAGTTGTGGGAAATTTTGTAAGAAGAACAGAAATTACTACAGCACAAACTGCTTTGAGTAGATGTCAAATTTCTCTGATGAAGATAGCTGTGGCTCCTGCAAATCAAGACTTTTTTTCAAACAAAACTCTTTTCTACTTAGCAATGATATGTTTATTTAGGTAAAGAACAATACCTGTGTTGTTGTTCCAAACAAAACTTTGTTAATTAGAGTTGCAATTGGACCGGTTAGACGTAAACCAGCTTTAACGTCACGAATTGCGTTGCGCATTGCATTAAGCAAGCGGCCATATGTCAATCCAGGTTCATTTTGCACAGCTTGGATGAAGCTGAACGTCATGGCACCGGTCCTGGTATTGGTTCCAGTGAAAGCCTACGAGAAAACAATTCAAACAACAATCTAATAAGCAAATGATATTAGTTAATTTTGATGTGTTGAGGCATAACTTTAATGGTTATTATTCAAACTAAAAAAAGGAGGCTCCAAATTCACATTCCCCTCTCCCAATTTAATCCATCAATTGATTATATCTGATCAGATCCTTGAGAAGTAGATAATTAGGTAAATCTGAAAAAAGATTACTCACAGTGGTATCTGCAGAGACTTGATTATCATCACAAGCACTAAAACAGAAGGCTAGTCCTCCACTTGTACCCTTGTAAAATAAAGGGTTTCTTTGATCTTCCCATATATAGAAACCTTCCCTAGATAAATAAAAACAAATTGTAAACTAAAAGATGAACTGGGTATCAGTGAAGCGTGACAATTAAAGATTAAATTGATTCGTGGTTCAAGAAATGAAATTTACAAATAACCGACTTGTTCATCCTGCAAACAAAAGGCAGATCAAGAACAGTTCCGCTGTAACAGGCGTCAATAATTGCATGCAGTGTCGCTTCTCGAGGCAGTGGCCTTACAATGGTGTCATTGATTTCATCATCGATTATAATCCCTTCGGTCTCATGATCAAGAGGGCACAAGGCTTCATCGTACCCATCGACCTCGTCTTGGTTGTAATCAATTTGTCGCGTGCCATGGCCAGAGAAGTGAAACACTAACGAGTCCCCTGATTGGCAACCATAGACCAGCCATCTCAATGCTTTTCGGATATTCTGTTTTGTTGGGATCTTGAAAGGGTCTGTCTCATCTTCTGCAGATTGATTGAAGCAGAGTTAACTTAAGAATGGAGCTTATGGCACATGATTTGGGCCTTTTTCTCGAGTTATGAGTAATCCCTCTGCTTCCTAAATTATACTGCCTATTTTTAATACTAACAAAAAAAAAAAAAATTCTTGCGCCTTTACACTGAGCCCATAACAAACTATGTACAGGGCAGTATTACAGGAACTATCCCTAGCTTGCAACTGAGCTTTCCTGACCTAAACTTTTGGTCGTTATTAACTAAACCAATCCATCTAACGCCACCATGGACTACTAGAGAAAGAGTTAAAAAGGAAAAAAAAAAAAAGGGGGGGGGGGGGGGAGGTACAGCACCTGTGAGCATGAGTATTGAGTCATTAGGAAACCCCAGTTTCTCTATAAGAAGGTACCTCATACACTTGACATCGTTGATGCTTCCTTTAAGCCTGTAACTCTTGCCATGGTAATTCACTCCGCAAAGAAGTGCTCTTTTCCTTCCGTGCACAGAAACAGCAGATAGGGGAGGTCGTGGCTGCGGAGGTCGCTGATGAGGAGCATACACATAGGGAATTCCATGCGTGCCTGACCCAGGATAGCTATCATAACCAAGCCGCTGGACACTGTCAATAAACTAACTGAACAACAAGCATCGGACTAATTTGAAAGAAAATAAAAATAAAGACTACTCAAAAAGAACCTGGTCTGGTCTGGTCCTAATAATGAGTCACGGAGATGACCCCAATGGACATTGGCCCGAACATTACTTTTAACTGGGGTGATGGTATTGGTAATGGCTTGGCACACAGCACAACGAATGGTTCGTGCCTCCGGTGGAACCAACAGGTATAGTCCACATCCACTGCATCGTTCTCTTCTTGTCATTGCCTCTGCTTGAGGATTGTTAAATTGCGTCGATTGATGTGTCCAACAAAAAAGAAGATTTAAGTCTTTAACGGAAACAGTGAGAGGAGTGGTGAGTAAGCTAGATTTATCGTCTCATCATTTTAGACATATTCGATCCCGAAAGAAAATTGGTGGAGAACTAGATTCTGGTTCTTTCTATTTGGAGGAATCAATATCTTTGCACATGTATGCAGATAAGATTCGTCGTGGTCTGCTAGTTTTCTAGTCAAATCAACTTGATTGCTTTCCATTACGATCTTTAAAACTGAGCCAGACTGGATAACGATGGTATATAACAATGACTATAAATCAAATCCAACAATGATAAAAGGGGATTGATCATTATGGTCTTCACTGTCAAACTTCCCAGATTTGACTCTGATAAATTTTCAGAAACGCAGCGTTTTCTCCCTGGTAACTCTTCATTCAGAAAGAAATAGATTATGGGAAAGTTTTGTTTCTCAAGTCCTGGTAGAAAGTTTGGCACTGATGTCAAATCAATTTGATCAGTTGTTGTATTTTGAGAAATTGGTGAATGTTGGAAAGTAAGAACTAATACTTTTTTTCCCGAGTATAAGAACTAAACACTATTATCGTAATGCAAAGGGAAGGCCCATGAATCTACTTGAGAGGAGGGACCTTCACTTCTAGGGTATCAAATATCCCCAACCTTCTTTTTGGGTTAAATTTAGATTATGATCCTACTCATCTTATAGAAATATATAAAAGCCAAACCCTTTAACAAAAAAAAAATCTAATGTAAATAGTTCACATTTTCCATACATAGACAATCTAAAAAATTGACATATATTCTCTAATAAATACATTTTAATAATTAAAAAAATAAATTTATTTTTATTTACCTTAAATCATTCTCAACTAAATTTATAAATAAGGTAATAAAAATTTAATTGCCATCATTAATATATAAAATAATTTTGGTAAGACTTTTTTCAATTATAAATAGTTTACTCATAATTATATTTATGTAAAAAATATTCACTTTTCACTATTCAATTCTACTTTTTAATATATGAATAAGTAATCATTGCTAATCCATCTTTTTTTGCATTGACTTTTCAACTAATGAATGTAATTTTAGTATTTAATAAGATAATCTATCTACCTAAATAAATATATTAATATCAAGAATTCAAATAAAAATAAAAGTTCATTTATTTTTAAAAATATTTTTTTGCTATATATTATATGGGTTTTTTTTTTTTTTGAAATCATACTACAAGTGATTAATTATCATATAAAACATCTTAATATGAAGTCATAATTTATTCCTAATCAAAAGTTTTTAAAATATAAAACGTAGATTTTTCTAAATAAAAACAAAAAACATGCTAACAATTAAATAATTCATTATAATTTATTTGCTTAAATTACTCTAAATTTTACAAGAGCCTCCCTGTTATAAATAAAGAATCATCTTGCACTAAAATTGTTCAATGATTTATTGAATACCATCCCTGGAGGTACAACGACTTATTGAACATGCTGTTTAATCTTTTTGATAGGATCAAAAATGTTACTTTTGTACATGTCATTCGACAAGCAAGTCATTTTGCAGATACTCTAGCCAAAATGGGTGTTCATAGATCTTGTGATTTTGTAGCTTGACTATAAATGTTACTTTCTTCTCTATTAATAAAACTGTCTATTTCACCTTTCACAAAAATGTTGTTCAAAGGTTCACCAAAATCTTCCAAATACATTTGTTTAATTGTGATTAGGTAAATCTTTACTCAAAAAATTTAATTGAATTTTTTATATAGCAACCAATAATTTTTATTAATTATTTTTAGTTTAATTTAGTTTTTCAATCACTGTTAGCAATAAAAATGTATTGTTTTTACTTTAGATAATATTTCTCTTTTATTTAGTTTTTTCAACCAACAAATGTTTTTACTTTATCATATTCGGTATTACTTCTCTTTTGTTTATTTTTTATGCATATTCAATTGAACTCCTTTTATAATTTATTCATTTTTAATGATCTTAAGTCATTCACTTTTCTATTGGCTTAAATTTCATACTAGCATGAATTTCTCTTTCATTTTAAAATATTATATCTAAAATTTTTATAATACAACCAAAATAAAAATCTTACATTTCATGAAACAGGGAAGAAAACATAATTTTCTTTTTTTACTTTCACTTTATGATTTTGCTTTTCATTTATAGTTTTTTCGAACATTATATTTATTTACGTTTAATATATGTGATTTAATTTTATTATATATATGCTGTTTAATTTGTTTTGTATGAATCAACAATAATCTTTTTTGGTACAACAACATAATTTTTAAATTAAGATGTTAATTGCTTTCATTTATACCATGAATGGATGCCTTTTGTCAACAATTTTATCATGGTCAACTATTTGGTCATGGTTATATAATTCAATTGCTATTGAATAAAAGAATTAAATAAGAAATATGCAATGTGTTTAATGTGTATTTTCTAACATATGCATCATTGTTTGAAGATTTAAAATTTTTAAAAATAATAACTTAGACAATTTTGCTATTTAACATTCAACATGATACATAACAAACAATTAAATAAATTTTATTATTAATGAAAATTGTTAAAAGATAGAAACAACTCTTTATTTTTAATTTTATGATACATAACTAGATAAGTTATATAAGTTTTAAGGTAAGTAATATACTTATTTTCACCAAATAATTCAAAAATATTGATTCAAAATAATTTTATATTCAACATTTTATCATGCACTTTCTATTTTTACAATATTTGTGTTCTAATTTTCATATTTATTCAATTGCACGTACTAAAAATATATTGTCAAATAGGTGTCAAAACAATTCCTTTTTCTTATCCAGTTACATATTATTAAATTTGTTGAACTTTCATGTTATAATTTCTCTAAAAAATACCAATAAAAAATTATATCTGAAAAATATTTTGGACAACTTTTCTAATTTTGAAGAAAACAATGAAACCTTAAAATAAATAATTGATTTGCATTTCCAATGAGTTTTTTCTTATAACCATATGTTGACTTAAAGTATTTCAATGATTTTTTAATTAGATCAATCATACTAATTTTGATTGAAAGTTTGCTAATCAAATAAATATGGTATTTGTTTTAATACATAACAATTGTTTTACTTTAATTTCTTTTAAAAATTTATGTGTTGTATTTTTGGAGAAAAAAAATAAGACAATTCAATCATATTTATTAAATTATAAATTTATGATAAAGATGAGATAAGTATGAATATTAAATTACTAATTTATAAATAACAATAGGTTAAGTTCTCGTAAGTATACCATTATATATACATATATATATATACACACATATATACATATATATATATATATAAATAGAGGGGAGGAATCAAGTTAAAAATGTTTTACACCTTTTTATATTTTTTTAATCATTGATTTTAATATATTAAAGAGATTTTGACTTATCTTTTTTATCCCTTGGATCTATTAAAATCAATACTTAAAAAAAAATATAAAACTAAAAAGTTTTAATTTGGTTTAAGTTGATTCTTCTTCATACATATATATATATATAATATATATCACCCATATTACAAAATAAAATTTTTAATATTATATATTATTATGATAATACAATTTCTTATCAAAATTATAAATATATTATTTTTTAAAAAAAAACCTTTTTTCTAATAAATAATCCTTTACTTTTTAATTTGTAAAAAATATATAATTGATTTCTTTACCCATGCATAATACAAGTTTAAAATTAGTATTATATGTTATATAAGTGTCATACTTTCAATTCTGATCTCTTCCTTTAAAAAATTATTATATTCTTTTGGAAAACCAATTATTCTCTTTTTCTTTTTTATGTATTTTTCCGACGGATGCTCCTAAAACATTTGTTAAGTTAATTAAATTATTATTTATAATAAAATTTTTATATTAAATGCATTAGTTAATAATCAATTTCACGACTTTCAATACATATTGATGGTATATAATAATAATAATATACCTACATGGTAACTTTAAAGAGTTCTTTCTATTATTCATTGTACAGTGTGAAAATTGGTCATAAAGCTGTCTTATTTTGGAATGAACAATGAATTGTTTGTTCTTTTCCAATTGAAGGGGAATATCAAAAAAGAAAAATCTACCATCTTAACTAGTTGAAAAAAAAATCTAGGACTCATTGTAAATTAAAGGAACAAGAAGATAAAATCTTGTGGGTTTTTATGACTATAAACAGGATTTTTAATATGATCATCACTATACATTAGTCACCTACTCACCTTATCGCATTAAGGTGTATGGATCATGAATTACGCGGTCAATTAGGGGCTCTCTCTAATCAAATATATTCTTCTTGGCCTTTTTTCCAGTTGTCTTGCAATACTAATTTCTTCTCCGAAGACAAATCAACCAAAAAACTTGACCCTTTCCCCGGAATTAGGTTCTCAGTTGATTTTAACAAGGGAGGTCAAATCATGTACCCTCTTTAAATTATATATAATCATCTTATTAAAATTCAGCACTAACAGAAATTTAAAAAAGATAGCAGAAGTCCATTGAGGAAACACCTGACTGAAGACAAATATGTGACTATGACCACTGATAAATGAAGAATCACAAACCGTGGCCGAGCCTTTGCTTCCCTTGTACATGGACTAGCGGAAGAGTAGAGGAAAAATGAAAATTTTGAGAAATCTTTTTCCTAATTTAAAGATGAACGAGCCTTTTGTCAACTTGCACATCCAGAAAATTCTCTTCGTTCTCAAGTCATTCAAATTACATTCAAATCAGGCGTATCAACCATTAAAAAAGAAATAATTTATCGCACTACTTAAAACATTAATTAATCTCAACCGAACAACATTAAAACATTCATTATTTTCGAAGCATTGAAATTAGACAGAATCCACAACCAAATCAAATGTTTAAGGTACACATCCAAGTACTGGCCAATGACCACCTACAGATGGATGAACTTTAATTTTCTCCAATGTTTTATTGTTCTGGCACAGGAATCTTTATTGCATGCGTAAATATTTCGTAGCTGTGAATCAGTTGTCGAAAAATCAAATTTACTTTACTCGACTATTGCTCCCAGAGCATACTTCCCGCGTTACAGTTCTCTGATTATTGTTGCCGCAGGTATTTATTAACATGTAGATTCCCTTGCCATTAACACCCTTCCATGGTATGTTCTAGGTTACAAGAACAAATGCCTTTTGTAAACATCAAACTTATCAGAAGACGAAAGAAGCGGTGTCTACCCATCAAAAATCAAAAAGGAAATGAAATCAGTTCTTTTTATGTATAAGAATTAAGCCATAATGAAAAATAACCATATAAAAACACCACCTTATATGTGTAATGGGGTTGGAGGGGCAGTTTTGGAGTCATATTCTGTTATTTTTCTTGAGAGAAACTGACCTGTGATAATCTGTTACCGAAGATCCTCCTTAAAATTCTTGTATTAACAAGGCATCCTTGATTAACATTATCGAAGGTCTCATGGATTAAATCAAATAGGTCCCCATATGTTGGGCCTGGTAATTTCTTCAGAACCTCTGCCAAGAGGTAGGTCAGAGCACCGTTCATCTCGCCATTGAAAGCCTGCATTCATGCGTTACAGAAGGACAAACCATATAAAATATAACATAGGAATTTCAATTTTTCATTAGCAATCGAATCACATGAATGTATGTACATATATTTGAAAAAGTAAAGCAAAATATGTCACTTACAGAGGTATCAGCAGCCGCTTGGTCGTCTAGACAAGCACTGATGGAAATAGCTAATCCACCATTTGCACGTTTGTCGACACCCGATGGAGGACTGTTGTCTTTCCATTTTTTCCTGTTTTATCTCAATTCAAGTAATAAAATAAGGGTATCAATAGGTACTTTTGAGTAGTGCCTCTCCCTTTCAAAATGAATATGTCATGTTCATTCGTTGAATTTAGAAAGCAGCATATTTACCTGATCTTATTATCATAGCCAGGAAAAAAGGAATATTCTTTTGAAGATAAAATATGGCTAGTAGTATGTATTCATTGAGTACCTAAAATTCTTCAATAAATCAAATCATACTAGCTAGTACTTACTGAATTCATATTAATCTTAATTAGATTTACTTAATGTTTTTATTTTTGACTCTTTTCATAGACCAGTTATTAATTTGAACATAATATTATCATTACAAGAAAATGAACCGCTTGAAAACGCCACCGTAATAGAATTTTATTAGATAATTTGGACAAATTTTAGGAATTCCATTTAGAAACTAAATTGTTACATTTAATAAATTATACTATGTTTTACTTTTAGAAATGAGAAGATCGAGTCTGCAAGAAAAGATAGACAAGCTTACTCTAGGCTGCAGTAAACGTTCGGAAGATCTAAGATAGTTCCGCTATGACAAGCATCAACAATGGCATGAAGCGTGACACCTTTCCTGAGCGGACGAACGATAAGGGAATTAAGATCATTATCGACAATCAGGCCCGCTTTTCGGAAATCAACCGGACAGATGGTTTCGTCGAACCCATCAAGCTCATCGTTGTTAAAATCAGGTTGTCGTAAGCCATGTCCAGAGAAGAAGAACACCAGTGAATCCCCCGACTGGCATTCGTCATTCACCAGCCATCTCAAGGAATCCTCAATGTTTTTCCTCGTCGGTATAAATCGTTGGTCTGTCTCCTCTTCTGCAGTTTTTAATTAATCATGACAATGAAATGGGGAAAAAAACAATCATATTAACGCCAAACATATAGAAATCAACAAACCGGTTAGAACACGAATGCACTCTCTGGGGTAACCAAATCTAGTAATCAACAAATCTCTCATGTTTCTCACGTCGTTAACAGTTCCCTTAAGCTTGTACCGCTTCCAATTATTGTAAGTAATCCCGCAAAGCACAGCACGCTTGCTTGATGTTATCGGGTTAGGACCAGAGGCCGGCTGGTAATTCAAGGAAGGAGGAGTTACGGTGCTGTGATGCATCTTACTTTTCATATGGCTACCAAAGGTTCTAATTCGGCTGCGTAGTCCTTGGGACTGGTTTGTCTGACCCTCGTTCGGAATTGGAAGAACGTTGCAGCACAAAGGACAAACAACCCCGGCATCTTTGGTTGTTGTTTTCACTACCAATCTTTGCCTGCATCGAGAGCATGGTATGGTTCTTCCCACTTCCATTGTTGCCGATACCCTGTAAGATTTTGGAGATTAGAAAGGAGGGTTTTTCAAATGCTAATTGTGATACAACTTTGATCCAAGGGGAGACGAGAAGTAACCGATTATAATTTCATACGGCCTGCTTTAGGAATTCATAGATTATTGGTGACTGATCTTTGGTTTTATAAGCATGAACAACGAAGATTAGAGTATTTTATCCAATCAATTTTTGTTTTTTTTTGGCCAAACAATCAATTAATTTTTTTCATGAACACAATCTATAAAGTGTTTGCCCTTTCTTTTTACAAAAAAAGAAATGTTCTGGATACAAAGAGTTGATTATTGACAGTGCTATGATGTGCTCATAAAAAAGTGGTGGCAAGATTTATGCTATCCTATATATATGTAGCATGCTAAAACCTAACTAGAATCTAGCTCTCCTTTTATATATGCATTAAATCATTACATTAGATTTATAGTTACGATGGTTTATTTTATGCGCGTATGCACGCTCTTTGTCTCATTTTTGTTTATCTTTTTTTCTTAAAGCTTGGAATGGTTTTTTTTTTTTTTTCAAATTTTAAATACTTAATACACTTAATTTTTTTATATTTCAAATTGATTTTCTGAAATTTAACTTTCGGGCAATAAAAATTATTGTAAATGACCAACATTATTAAAAAAATTTGAATTTATAATGTTAGATAATAAAATTCGAGGCTTTAATCTTGATATACGTAAAAATAAGAAAGATAAAAATTTTAAGACAGAAAGAATATTTAATTTTATTTTTATTCAGATTGTTACTTATTTTTATTTTGGTGAGTGGGAATTCTACACACGTTTCATACACATAAATTGTACACATGCATTTTTTTTTTCAAGTTTTATTTTTTTCAATTAATTCTTATGTTGTTTGTATGAAATTTGTGTATAGTTATTATGTGTATATATATTTTTCTCTTTATTATTAATTAGTTTCGCTGCTACCAAATGAGTTGGAATGATAGATCACATCCCAAGCAAAGCATATTAATCCAACTACAAAATGAGAAAGGCCGAATGCTATTCTTCAAACATGTCATGAAGCATAGGAATAATGCTATCAAAATGAAAGTATATCACTTATAATTATTGAACTATAATTTATTAATCATAATTTAAATTGTATATAATTCATTAAAAATTTTATATGAAACTCACTCATGTCATTAATGAATAAAATTAAAAGTTGAAAAGCTTTAACCTAATTAAATATTTAAAAATTAAAAATATTTATTTTTAAGAATTTTAAATTTTTAAATTTGCTAATCAATGATATGGCAATATATATATACTTCATTGATAGTGTAAAATAGTGTAAGGCATTTATTCAATAACAATATATCAAATATAAATCTTAAATAATAAACCTTTAAATAATATTTTGTGATTGAAAAATAAAAAGAATTATGCCAATGAAGAATTGGATTAGTGACAAGAAAAAGATCTTACAACCTTAAGATTTTATATTTAAATTCACTATATGTGAGTTTTGTTGTTTAATTACGTTATAATTTATTAATTAATTTATTATATGAACGTAATATGTGATTATAATTATAATTTAAAAAAAAAAAAAGAGAAATACTCAATCGCAACCGGTAACCGGCAACCACGCAATGGGATCCTACAAAACTGAATTCTCACTTCCTTTCAACTGCCAGACATCTTTATCAAGAAACTATTATGAGAATTTTAAACCATATACCTCATTCCTTCATAAATCTTGATCATTTAATTCTATTTTCTCCCTATCAAGCAGAATTATAAAGCAAGTTCATAAAAACAATAAAAAAAAAGTATATAAAACCAATTTTAAACGTAATAGTGCTTGCACATAAAAGTAAGTGGAACACCTTTTTCTTTCTTTTTCTTTTCTACAAGTTGACAAATTTTGCAAATAAAGCTCGAACGTTCTTTACGTCGGCGATGTCAGTGGAGAAGCTTTAATATGTACAAGTATATATGCTTCGCGTGAAAGCCACTTTTAAGAGGGGGAAAAAATCAATGGCAAATTCTATCAAAAAACCAACAAAAAGTAAACTTAGTTTGTCATTTATGGATCTGCTTTGACATTTTAATATCTCCAAATCTTCTTTCTTAATTCATACTCTTGTTGTAGCAGTACACTTCTTTTCAGTTTTCTAATACAATGTACCCGGAAAGAACCAAATGCCACAATGCCAGCTAAATACAGATAAATTTCATATCCCTTTTTTTCTTTCATTTTGAACCATTCCTTTATGCATTGTATATGTAAATCATATCAACATTTTGTAAACAAAATCCCACTCAAAAAAAGGGGAAAATTTCAGGCGCCTCAAACCTCTGGCATCTTCAATTTGCTATTGAGTATTTGTCACATCCATGCTGTACTAATCTAAAGGCAGGATTCGCTTGTCGATATCGACCTTTATGTTACGCAATAAATAAATTGGATAACACATTATACATACATACATACATACATAAAAATATATAATATTTTTATAGTAAATAATTAAGCTACATATTTTTCTTGTTTTAGTACATAATATAAATGTTAAAATTAAAAATTTTATATCATTTCACCTTTTTATGTCTTGGGGTACACAATGGGAAGTTCAGTCTTGGCCGTTTCAAAATTCTAATTCGTGATTTTTATGATAAAATTTTAGACTCTAACCAATATAGTGTAATTTAAGACGTTGTACTATTATACTTACTATTGGTTTTATTAACATGCCAAAATTCAAACTCGTATCTATCACATCCCATCCTGTAGGAAGCCCCGCATGATTAGCTAGAAGAAAAATCTTACTACTCCAAACATAAGCAGAACTGTGGGGAGATTTTACGGGTGAGAAATGTGGTAAGAAAAACGTAAGAGTAATACCAAGTGGTCACAAAATGTTCTTCTAATACAGATGCTGCACTTCGACAAGGATCAGAAAATTCTAGTCAATGTTACTGTCATAACGTTTAGATTTATAAACTTATCGTTAGATATTGATTTAAAAAGTCGTCATCAATTTTATTTTATTTAGATGCGATTGACTACTTAACTAAATTTATCTTTTTTTAAAAAAAATATTATGTTTGACTTAAGTATCTTTAAAAAGTAAATTCAATATTTACAAAATCACAACTAAATCCAAAAATACGATTACGTGTGAGGAAGGTTATAACACCCCCACAATGCCTATTAAAAGATGATATCAGTTTGATTTCATATTATCCATTGAACCTTAAAAATTTTATCAGATAATTAATTGTTGAAAAGTATTTTTAATTGACTCTATTACTATTAACAGAAAATCAAAAAAATTCTCTCACTTCAAAAGTATATAAAAAAATTATTATTTCTCTTGTAAGGGCTCCGTTGTTGGATTATTTAACATTTTAAAAAAATTCAAAGGAAAATTTAACATTTCGACTTTTTCCTAAGATTTCCTTTCTTATTTTTTTTAAAAAATGATTAATGCCTTTTATTCAAATAAAATTAATGCTTTCAACTTTTTCTCCAAAAAAAAATATTTTTTGAAATTTTTATTTTTAAGAAAAATTGATACTCTTAACTTTTCCTCAAAAAATATCTTTTGAAAATTTTATCTTCAAGAAAAATTGATACTTTCAACTTTTCTTAAAAAAGTTTCTTGAAAAATACATTTTTTTAAAAAAAATTATTTTCTAAAAAAAATTGATACTTTGAACTTTTTCTTAAAACCCTTTTTTTATTATTATTAAAGTTATTTAAGGAAAATTGATACTTTAACTTTTCTTCAAAATTTTTATTTGAATTTTTTTATTTTTTAAAAAATTGATTCTTTAACTTTTTTTTTTTTAAATTTGAAATTATTTTTATTTTTATTATCATTTTCTTGGAACAAAGATTTACTCAAAAAATAATTAAGTAAATAAACAAAATAACACAAGAAAATACCAAACAAGTCTCAGCTCGACTTAGCTTAAAAAGGTTTGGCTGTAAGAGTGAATGAGGCTCGGTGGCTATTTTTATGGTAATCCAAAAAGCTTCAGAAGACTGATGGGTTTTTTTTAGATTTTGATGTGTCATTGACACATCTGTGCCACAAGTTATCACCACAATCCTTTTTTTTTTTTGCTTTTTCTTTTCTCTAACCTTAAAATTTTAGTCAAGCTTGCACCTGAAACGCTACTCTTTGATCGCCGACGTGAGTCATAATTATCATTACCTTCTTTGTTGATGTGAGTCACAACAAAATCCTGCACCTGAAGCCCTACTCTTTGGTCACCATGCTCTATTAATGTGAGTCGCAACATAATCCTGTACCTGAACCCTACTCTTTGATTGCTGTTGCTTTACTGACATGAGTCACAATCACCAATGCCTTCATTACTACTTATTATGACTGATCTTAGGTTGATTGTGATTTTTTGTATTTTGATTTTAGGGTATTTTGAGTTTTTGCTTTGATTGATTGGTTCTGGTAATTGGTGATTGGGAAATTGTTTGCAAGTTTGTGACTTTGGATTGTGTTGCTGAAGGTCGATTGTGAATGTTTTTTCTAGCCTTGAACGATAGTTTATATAACATGATGACATAAGGGTTTCAAAACAAAAAACCCAGCATCCTATCACATTCAATTTTAAATTTTGAGTTTTTTTTTTAAAGCACAGGAATTTCAAATATTTAATCTAATATTCCAAATTTCAAACACAAAGCCTTATCACTTAATTTATCCCTTTTTTTATTCTTCTTATTTATTTTTAAAATAATAATAAAAGTAAAACTAAATAAATAAAACAATAAAACAAATTGATTAGGTCCATGCCCAAATAACCTGCAAAGGGTGTCTACTACAGTTATAAATTTTCAAGACGCAGATATAAGACAAACAACTCTCTCCATTTTTTTAATTTACACTCAAAACTGTAAGAGCCAAGATATCATGGCACCAACCCAACAAAGACGTACAAATTAATTAAAAACCAAATTAATCGATAGCCGCAGCTAGCACCCTCTTCAATCTTTCTTTTCATTTTACTTAATTTTGTAGTTTTTCATCTCTTTTATTGATAAATCTAAACTGTTTATTTCCCTTAAACTATTATTTAAATAATAAAAACCTCTTGTTACAAGAAGTTTGTTTTCTGTTCTTGTGGTAGGGGAACAAAGATTGAGTGTTACATTGTACAAAATTTTCCTTAAACCATGTGTAATTTTGTCAGAGTATATATTGCTTGAAGATCGACAACGAATGCCTCATAGCAGAATCCATTGCAGTTGTTGCTTCAATGGGATCCACTATGTACAGTTATAGTTTAAAATGCCTCTGGTAAATGTCGAACTCTTCGGAAGCTGAAAGTAGGGGCTTCTGTATACATTCATAAGAAAACACAGTGCCACAGTCATACATGTAAAGAAAAAACGCTAGCACAACTTTTGGTAACTTTTTTTGTCTATAAT